TCCATTTACCATTTACCATTTAGGTCCATTTACCATTTACCATCTTGGAACTATGCATTTAATTAAGTGGTGGTAATAGGTCTACTGAATTACTTTTTAAGGTCAGGGTTAGGAATTTTTTGAATTTCGATTAGGATTTTTTCTGAAACCCACACTTGTGGTCAAGTGACTTAATCTGGAGTCATTCTAAATGTAGTTTTACATGGTTGTAAGTGGTATAATCTCCTGCTCACCATTTTACCTATTTTTTAAAAATCTCTTCTGTCATCTCATAGTCTATTAATTAAGTTTGTATATTTTGGTTTTACTAAAAGTATTGTAGATGGATGCATTTGCTGCCTGGATTATGCTCACTGGTAATGGTTTTTCTAGTCCAAAAGGGGTTTTTGTACCAACGAGGAATGGAGGGCTGGACTGTAACACCTGAGACTGGGGTTTGCTTCCTGTATGTGGTTGTGTAACATGATTCTCTAAGCTTCACAAACACAAATGAACACTGGGATCCATTAATAAATCTCAATGAGGTTTCATGGAGAGAACTATCTAATTCATTATACATACGGGTGAATAAAAGGAAAAACCAACATAAAGTGTGTTGGGCCACCATGTGCCGCTAGAACATATTCAATGGGCCTTGACATTGAGTCTACAGTCTCTGGAACTGGAGGGATGGAGCAACATGCTTCCAGATGATATTCCTTATTTGTTATTATTTGATGGTGGTGGAGAGTGCAGCTAACACATCAGTCCAAAGTCTCCCATCCGTAGCATATGATTCAATCAATGTTATACTCATTGAACCATTCAGTGAGCCCTTGCGCCCAATGAATAGGGCATGTCATCCTGAAAGAGACCACTCCCATCAGGATAGAATTTTTTTTCATAGGATAGAGGTGATCATTCAGAACAACTTTGGGCGGCTGTGGCTCAGGAAGAGCGGGTCGTCCTCTAATCGGAAGGTTATTGGTTTGATCCCAGGCTCCTGCTGCCACATGTCGCAAGATACTAAACCCCGAATTGCTCCCATATTACTTTTTTCCACATCTCTGCAGACCAGAGCATATGGTTTCACTAATGACGTCTCAAATGTATATTTAAGCAATAGCTCACAACATCCAGTATGTTAAGCTAAGGGGTGTAGTCCAGCCCGACGTGAAGCAGAGCCACCATGGAGGTTCAAGTTGACCCTAAATGTTTTAATTTTGTAGCAGTTTTGTAGCAGTTTGTAACAGTTTTTAGGAGTTTGTAGCAGTTTGTTGCAGTTTTGTAGCAGCTCATAGCAGTTTCGTGGCAGTTTATTGCAGTTGTGTAGCAGTTTATAGTAGTTTTGTAGCAGTTTTGTAACAGTGTGTAAGTATGTAGCAGTTTGTGGTCGTTTTTGTAGCAGTATGTAAAAGTTTTGTATCAGTTTATAGCTGTTTATAACAGTTTTATAACAGTATCTAGGTTATGTGGTCTGTTATCTAAATTGGTATGGTGCAACTACTTGCCATTCGTCAGTTCACAGTAACTATCTCTATTGGTACTTTAGAAATAACTATTTCGTTTACTTTTCTTTATAGAAATGAATGGACTTCTGAGATATAGGGCTACTGTGTGTATATACCGATCAGCCATAACATTATCACCACATGCCTAATAAATGTAGATAGTGCCAAAACAGCCCTGACTGTCGAGGACTCCACTAGACCTCTGAAGGTGTGCTGTGGTATCTGGAACCAAAACGTTAGCAGATCATTAAAGTCCTGTAAGTTGTGGGGTGGGACCTCCAGTGATTGGACTTGTTTGTCCAGCACATCCCACAGATGCTCAATTAGCTTGAGATCTGGGGAATTTGAGGTCAAGTCAACACCTTGAACTCGTTGTGTTCCTCAAACTATTACTAAACCATTTTTGCTTTGTGGCATGGCGCATAATCCTGATGTTTCCATGAAAGAGTGTATATGATCTGCAACAATACTTACTCTATGTTGAAAAGACAACCAAATTTTGAAAATGTTTAAAAGAAAAAAGAAACACACACATATATACTATATAGTCAGATCTTAAGGTAGCTATGTTAGCAAAATGCTAGCTAACTAGCTAGATAAACTACATCAATAATTAGCTAGCTAATCAACGTTAATTGTTATCTCGCTAGATACATCTGATAGCTAATGTTAGAAAAATGCTAGTGTGGCAAGGAGTGGGGTTTTTAAATGTTAAATAAGGGGGGGGAACTAAAGATAACG